TCAGCCTGAAGGATGGCGGGTGAGATTCATATCTGTTTCAATATATGACCTACATTTCTGTTGGTTGGTAACGAACATATGCAATGTTTCTATGTTTAATGTTTGTGTTCTGTCTGTGTTGTGTATTAAGGGTTAATGAAATTAGCATTGAGAATATCTGAATTTATTTATTCAAGCTAATTGCCCAAACAGTTCTCTGTTTTAAGTTAAGTTACAAATGGATGTCTAAAGACCATTGTATATGAATTTTCATATTCGTAGATTGTATTATGAAATCTTAACCGGCTTTTTCTTGTGATATATTGTTTTATATGATGCTTATATTTACTGCGACAGTTACTCACCGAACATAAAAGAAATCAAAGTGGTAAGCCATCGTAAAGTCAGGAGGGCAAGATTGTACTATCTGAGAGACAAGCTTCCGAGATTCTCCACTTTCAAATGATACGTAGATACCCCACTTTTCCCTACGTTCATCTTCGAAGTAATCTACTGATCCATGATAAGTGTTGCGGGGCTTTAATGCTATTATTTCAATTTGTTCTGTTGTAGAATATATCATTTTTCTTCCCCTGACAGACATCCTATCTTCCCTGAAATCGAAACAAGTGTACTGCTGAACCTTGATAGCTCCGAGAAATTTGAAGTGTTTCTTCTGCGTCACTATAATGTATACATACTTTAAGAAAGCGAATCTGTGAAAAAGAAAACCATTACTTTCATTAAAAAGAAAATATGAATATATCAATACCTCGATGAATATGTTATGTGTAATAGGAGACCAAGGGTCTCTACATATTTTTTATGCAGTAAAAATGAAAGAGAAAAAAGAGAGGAGTACATAGCAATTAGAAGTGAGGTAAAACTTAATAGGTATTGGAAAAATATAGTATTGGAAAAATATAATATTGAGCATTAACTTTATAAAAAAATTAATGACATATTTAGAACAACGTAGTGTTAATAACTAATCTAAAAAAATTGAACATTTAATTTAAGAAATTAAAATTTGAAAAAGTTGAAAATTGGCTAAAGATCAGAGGAACTATAATCTTGTTTTTATTGGATTGGGTTTCAGATCTAGTTTTGAAAATAGATCCAATTTAAATTGAGCTTATATTTTTTTGTATGTTATTAATTATACAACTACTTATAGATTTTTATAACTAACTTTTAAAAATATTTTTATTGTATTTTCTTAAAAAAAATTAAACCCGTTTAAATTAAATTAATTTAAATCTAAAAAATATAAACTAAAGTGCTTAAACAGTGGAACGGGATAAGTTTTCTCAATATCATTCCTCTTTCTGGGTCAAAATATAGAAAAAAAAAATAAAAAGTGATAAATAAAAAAATATATTTAAAAAGGACACGTGCACAGAGTAGGTTGCAGGTGGCCCCAAAGGATGCGAGAGTGTAGCAGCGTTTCTCTCTCTCTCTCTCTCTCTGTATTCAGTGCCTCTGCCAAAACCAGATGGCACAGACAGACAGTGTGGAGGAGTATGAAGGCTCAAAGCGATCTCGGTGGCTAAAATTCTGCATAATTTAGTTTAGGACTTTATAGCCATCGGTGCCCCATACTCCTCGTTCCATCACACATCTCTTCTTCCTCTTCTCCTTCATGCGATGTGATGTCACTCTAATTCATTCCTTCCTCCATTCCCCATTCCCCCTTTCCCCCATTCCCCTTCTTCGCCATGACCGCCTCTCAACTCATCTCCGTTAGTCCCGACGAACTCCGCTTCCATTGTACGTCTTCTCTCTCTCTCTCTTCTCAATTCCCTTTCGCTCTTTCTTACCAATTGCTGTTTAATTTTTCCTTTCTTTCACAAAAATCACTTCTTTTTTTCTATATTCTTCTTTTTACCATCACTTCCTTCTCATAATATTAATCATTAGACACGTTTATCGCTTTATTTACTNGGAAGATCCGGCCCAGAAAGTAATGGACTTTGTTGGGGCCCCTAATTTTTGGACCAGGCCCAGCCCAATAAAAGGAAAAAGGAAAGTGTAGTTGGCACGTGTGGAACGGATAGAAACAGATAAGGTCTTCTCCATTACAGCTTTCCAATTCTTCTTACATTTTGAAGTGTTGCCATGTCTCCTACCCACTGAAGCGCAACCCCTATTCCCATCTTCCTAATAATGGCTTCTCAAGTTCTTCTTCAGGTTTTTCTCTCGCCTCTACATTAAACGTGGAAACCTAAACATTTTCATATTCTCTGTCTCCTTACTGATACGGAAATTGTACTGCAGCAGGCACTGTTTGCGCCTAAGCTCACTTTTCCTTCCTCTTCCCCTCGTAACGTTGCGTTAATTTCTAGGGTTTCTTCGACTCCAATTTCATGGCGTTGCACTCCTCTTACTGCTAAGTCTAGTTTCGTCGTGAGAGCTGATTCCAACCTCGAAGGCGGTGGTGAAGCCACCGAAGATGTTCCTTTGGATAATGTTGATGACGTTTCGGAAGGCGAAACAGAACAGCTTTCGGATTCTGAAGCTCCGAAATTGCCCCGAAAAGCCAGAGTAAAGCTTGGAGACGTTATGGGGGTAATTAGAGGCGCCATAAATTAGCCTGTGTGTTTTAATTACCAATTAGTTTTCCACAGTCTGCACCCTTTCCATGCGCGTATGTGTGTGAGAATGTGTAGGGAAAAGACAGAAGATGGACGAAGTGTAAAATGCATGATGTTGTTGTTGTTGTCGATGCAGATATTAAATCAGAGGGCAATTGAGGCATCGGAGAAGGAAAGACCTACGCCAGACATTAGGACTGGGGATATTGTCGAAATCAAATTGGTATTCTTTTTATTACTTAAGATATATTTTGAGAAGAGTGCTGAAGTGACATGAATTTTATGGTGATTTAATTTCGTTCTTCTTGCAGGAGGTTCCTGAGAACAAGCGTAGGCTGTCCATTTATAAGGGGATTGTCATCTCAAAACAAAATGCTGGTATTCACACAACTATTCGAATCCGAAGAATCATTGCCGGCACTGGAGTTGAGATAGTCTTCCCAATGTGAGTTTCCTCTTTATTAGAATTTTGTATTTAAAGACTATTATTGCCATTTGCTTTTCCACTATTTGGACCATTGCTTCACATCATTGTTTATCCTATTGTTGTGATTAGGGGTATAATTATATAAACCATGTTCCTACTAAAAACTGGGAATTTGGGATGAATACTTAAGCTATCTTTGTTACTTAAAAGGAACTGTAGTCAATTTGAAGACTTTGGATGACTAAGCTGTGGAAAAAGAAATGGTTAGGAGTTGTCATTTTCAAAGATTTAGATTACATCGTCTATGCCTGCTCAATTTGCTACTGTGCACCTTTTGAAATCACCTAGCTTGGACATTGGTTGTGGGATTCTGATCAATGGTATCTTAAGGTAACCTTGTTCCACAATAAATTGAAGCATGAGACTATTTTCATCGCAATTTTTTTTTTACAAAATGGGGTTTATTCGGTTTCCATGGGAGGGTTAAAACTTGAAAGAAGACAAATCCTTTTTTGTGTGATCTACCACCCTCCCTGGATATACCAAATTCAGGGAATAAGAATTCTGGTTGTGGTAAATTGGTATTGGAAAACATATCAGCCTGAAGGATGGCGGGTGAGATTCATATCTGTTTCAATATATGACCTACATTTCTGTTGGTTGGTAACGAACATATGCAATGTTTCTATGTTTAATGTTTGTGTTCTGTCTGTGTTGTGTATTAAGGGTTAATGAAATTAGCATTGAGAATATCTGAATTTATTTATTCAAGCTAATTGCCCAAACAGTTCTCTGTTTTAAGTTAAGTTACAAATGGATGTCTAAAGACCATTGTATATGAATTTTCATATTCGTAGATTGTATTATGAAATCTTAACCGGCTTTTTCTTGTGATATATTGTTTTATATGATGCTTATATTTACTGCGACAGTTACTCACCGAACATAAAAGAAATCAAAGTGGTAAGCCATCGTAAAGTCAGGAGGGCAAGATTGTACTATCTGAGAGACAAGCTTCCGAGATTCTCCACTTTCAAATGATACGTAGATACCCCACTTTTCCCTACGTTCATCTTCGAAGTAATCTACTGATCCATGATAAGTGTTGCGGGGCTTTAATGCTATTATTTCAATTTGTTCTGTTGTAGAATATATCATTTTTCTTCCCCTGACAGACATCCTATCTTCCCTGAAATCGAAACAAGTGTACTGCTGAACCTTGATAGCTCCGAGAAATTTGAAGTGTTTCTTCTGCGTCACTATAATGTATACATACTTTAAGAAAGCGAATCTGTGAAAAAGAAAACCATTACTTTCATTAAAAAGAAAATATGAATATATCAATACCTCGATGAATATGTTATGTGTAATAGGAGACCAAGGGTCTCTACATATTTTTTATGCAGTAAAAATGAAAGAGAAAAAAGAGAGGAGTACATAGCAATTAGAAGTGAGGTAAAACTTAATAGGTATTGGAAAAATATAGTATTGGAAAAATATAATATTGAGCATTAACTTTATAAAAAAATTAATGACATATTTAGAACAACGTAGTGTTAATAACTAATCTAAAAAAATTGAACATTTAATTTAAGAAATTAAAATTTGAAAAAGTTGAAAATTGGCTAAAGATCAGAGGAACTATAATCTTGTTTTTATTGGATTGGGTTTCAGATCTAGTTTTGAAAATAGATCCAATTTAAATTGAGCTTATATTTTTTTGTATGTTATTAATTATACAACTACTTATAGATTTTTATAACTAACTTTTAAAAATATTTTTATTGTATTTTCTTAAAAAAAATTAAACCCGTTTAAATTAAATTAATTTAAATCTAAAAAATATAAACTAAAGTGCTTAAACAGTGGAACGGGATAAGTTTTCTCAATATCATTCCTCTTTCTGGGTCAAAATATAGAAAAAAAAAATAAAAAGTGATAAATAAAAAAATATATTTAAAAAGGACACGTGCACAGAGTAGGTTGCAGGTGGCCCCAAAGGATGCGAGAGTGTAGCAGCGTTTCTCTCTCTCTCTCTCTCTCTGTATTCAGTGCCTCTGCCAAAACCAGATGGCACAGACAGACAGTGTGGAGGAGTATGAAGGCTCAAAGCGATCTCGGTGGCTAAAATTCTGCATAATTTAGTTTAGGACTTTATAGCCATCGGTGCCCCATACTCCTCGTTCCATCACACATCTCTTCTTCCTCTTCTCCTTCATGCGATGTGATGTCACTCTAATTCATTCCTTCCTCCATTCCCCATTCCCCCTTTCCCCCATTCCCCTTCTTCGCCATGACCGCCTCTCAACTCATCTCCGTTAGTCCCGACGAACTCCGCTTCCATTGTACGTCTTCTCTCTCTCTCTCTTCTCAATTCCCTTTCGCTCTTTCTTACCAATTGCTGTTTAATTTTTCCTTTCTTTCACAAAAATCACTTCTTTTTTTCTATATTCTTCTTTTTACCATCACTTCCTTCTCATAATATTAATCATTAGACACGTTTATCGCTTTATTTACTCTCCCGATTTTCTTGTAACCAGTTGAGTTGGAGAAGCAAACGTTTTGCGATCTTAAGGTCCTCAATAACACACAGAATCATGTTGCTTTCAAGGTTTTTTTTTAACTTAAATGTTCCTCGATATGCTCTTGCTTTCTTTTTAATGCATGTGATTCCAGTGTATTTTTCTTAATTTTCTCCTTGACAGGTCAAAACCACTTCTCCCAAGAAATACTTCGTACGACCTAACACCGGTGTCGTACACCCCTGGGACTCCTGTATCATCAGAGGTGCTGCATGTTAATATTACCGAGTTACTTATAAGGCTAGTTCTTTGATTATGATACGTATTATCTTTATTTGGGTTAGATATATACCTGAAGCGATTTTAAAAAATGGAAACTACTAAATATTTAAATGAAGACAAGTTTCTGATACTGTCTTCTTTAAATAATTACGATAGATTATAGAAAATTGATAGATTTTGCTTTTGATTCCTTAGCCCCTGGAGAGCACACGTTACCAAAACCGTTTTATTTTGCTTTAAGACTTTTATGATATCTTTGATTGGTGGTGTGATCAGATAAAATGAAAAGCAAAATTCTCACCTTTTAGCCAAATGAAAAGGAAAAATGTTATCAAGACAAATTTTATTTATTTGCTGACATTAATTACAAGTATTTATTAAACTTTCCCCTCATGATTTTTAATTTCTAATAATTTTAAGCAAAGGCAAATAAGATATTAGGAAGTGTGTTGCTAGCACTTCTCTAGCATATATGCATGTGAACAGGTTATTGAATGCACATCTAGTGGACGTAAATTTTAGAAATCTGCTGTTTCATACATTACATGTGTAGGAGGAAACGGAGGGTGATGTTTAGGTCTGTGAAAACTGCAAATTTCAACTGATCAATAATGGAAGTTTTTCTTTCCTGCAAAGGACTAGGAATAAGTGATTAAGAGCTTTATTTGAGCTTGTGATGCTCTATGTCAGGTTTTTTTTGTTCCATCTAGATGAACTGTTCTTGTGGTAAATTTATTTGCTTAGGAGCCCAGAACTCTTCCCAGTCTATGGTAGTAGAATTTGTCATATTGTCAATTTTTATTTTGTACAGTCACCCTCCAAGCCCAACGGGAATACCCTCCAGACATGCAATGTAAAGACAAGTTTCTCTTACAGAGTACAATAGTGAGTCCAAATACTGATGTTGACGACCTCCCAGCAGATACTGTAAGAGGGCCAACACTGTCTTTTATACGGGATCAACTATACAGATTGAAGAGCAAAAATTTATCACTGATACTGTTAATTTCACTTGCAGTTTAATAAGGAAAGTGGTAATTCAATAGAGGAGTTGAAATTAAGAGTTGCATATATCTCTACTGCCTCACCCGAAGGAAGCTCTGAAGATGATGCATCAAGGAGCTCACATAAACTCGATTCCTCTTCTGTGAGTCTCTTTTCCTCCCCCATTACCCTTCGTGGAAATCAGTTCCACATTTTTTCTTTATTTTGAATTTCGTAATTTTATGTGTTTACCCATAATGCCATATGTTGTATCTTGGATTTTGTGACAGCATTAATTCCACTTTGTTCATGCACAACCTATTACTCGTGATACTTGCTGCATTTGGTGGAAACAACGTAGGACTTGGTATTTGAGAAAGCTAGAAAACATATTAAGATTGATAAGTAAAGACAAAATAAAAATTGAAATCAGTGAAACATTTGAACTTCCTTCTATAGGTCCCTTCTGATTGAAAATATAAGCATGTGTGGCATCAAGCTTCTCTATCTAGTTTATTCTGCTTAGTTTTTACTTTATAATTTTATGGAGGTGTTTCCTCGGCTTTTAAGTGGCATAAAACATCTAGCAGAGTGTGCACTCCACAAATTGACCCATGAAAGGAGTGTTATGCTCAGGTCTTTAGTTAATTTGTGGAGAATATACTTATAACTTTAATTCTTGTGGGACTGTTTATAGATTATATCATTTGTACACGCTGAATTTAAAGTAATTACTACTGTATTTATGATACCAGTTTATTCTTTTAGGTTAAGACAGTTGTATCGACTGCTTTTAATTTCATTCCATTCACATGCATACTGACTCCATCTGTGTATCACCAAAACGAATGGATAGTTGCTTGAGTTGTATTCTGTATTTGAGTTGTTATCTCTAATTGCACGTTAATTGCTCATTGTCAGTCATTTCCTAAATTGTGGCAGTTGATTGCAGACAATTAAACCTTCTCTACTTTTTCAGTTCTATTCTTTATTATATTAGCCAGTCAAGCTTAAATTAAATTTCTATTTTTTAAGAGTCAGGTTTTACAGAATCTGAAGGAAGAAAGAGATGCCGCTGTCAGACAAACGAGACAGCTGCAACAGGAACTGGTAATTGTTCTGCGTTTTCCAACATCGTTCTTTTATCATAAGATTTTGGTTAAGATTTTATTTGGAGTTGTTGTTCCAAATATGCACTCATGGTGATTCAGTTGAATGTGAGGAATAAACAAGTATTAGAATTAGAAGCCTAAGTTGGAACCATCAGTGATATTGATACGCATGCACATTGTCTCCACCTCTCTTCCACCTTATATTTTCTCTATTAATTTACATTCGTTTCATATCATATTATCTATTTTCTTTTTTCTGTAAATCTCTCTCCTTTTCACTTCCTGGACCCTAGCAGGTGTTTGAATATAATTTTCTATAGGAATTTAGAGTCTTCTCTTTCCTAAAAAAATCACAATGTACAATAGAAAACATAATAGACCTATGAAATGCAGTGAACATTATTATGATCTGAGCCTGTATACTTGACTATATATAATGATAAGTTACATAATTTCTTCACTTTCAAAAAAATACATAAAGTTCTTCTGGCTTCCTTTCCTTTTTGTTAGTCCAATACTTTTTATGAGGGCATTA